GATGAATTATCTTAGTTTTTGTTCAACTGGGAGTATCCTCATTTTTGAAAAATCATTTGCTGGATATAGGGATCTTGGTTGATAGCTGTTTTTACTTTGAGGATTTTGAATATATCTTCTCACTGAAACAGTCATAAAATCTCCATTGTTTCAGCTGTTGTTTTATGGAGGGGACGGGGCTGGGCTGCCCAAGGGGGCGGCCGGGCCGTATGTGATAAATCATTTTTCTTTTCTTGCTGTCAATATTTTTATTTTGACTTTAAATTTTACTTTGAGTAGGACATATCTAAGTGTGATAGATATGTCCTTTTGGGGATTTTTTTCATTTTCTTGGATGCATAGCTGATGTTTTCAATCAAAGGTGGGAAGTTTCGGGTAATGTTTCTTTTTTTACAAATACTTTCTCCGCTTTCTCTTTATGACAGTACACTTTATGGTGTCACACAGATCTCTGCAGCTCTGATCCTTTTCCTTCACTCTTTTCTCTCTCTGTTCATTAGATCAGATAATTTCCACTAATGTAGCTTTAAAATTGTCAGTACTTTCTTTTGCTTGTTCTGATCTATTGAATCCTTCCAGTGAATATTCCTCTTCTTTTTTATACTTACCAGTTTCAGACCTTTCATTTGTGTTTTTTAAAAATAATTTCCATTTTTTTACATTCCTTAGCTGATGGGTTATCGCCAACATACCTTTCCTTTAATGTTTTACAAGTGGTTTCCTTTAGTTGTTTGAAATATTTGTGATAGTTGCTTTGGGGAAGTCTTTTTTTCTAAATTCAACATCAAGTTCCTTTGAGGACAGTTTCTATTGTTTTTCCCCCCTACTCTCTTATATGGGCCATCCACACTTTGCTATTTCTTTTCATGCCTCACTTTTTTTTTTTTTAAAGTTTATTCTTAGATCATTTTGTGCATTTTTCCATCTCAGTTGTAATCCCCTTGGGTTTCCCATCACAACATCACCCATGTGCCATCACCATACTACAGTGCATTTCCCTCCCCCCACTGTTTTTGATCCCATTCCCCACTCCACCCCCTTAAAATGTCTCTGGCATATGGCTGTTCATTATGATTATTATTTTCTCACCTGGCCCATTATATTCCTGCTATGAGTGAAACCATCAGTATTTTTTCTTTTCTTTCTGGCTTATTTCACTAAGCATGATCTTTTCCAGCTCCATCCATGTTGCTGCAAAAGGCATGTGTTTATTTATTTATTTATTTTTGGTTGCTGAGTAATATTCCATTGTGTATATGTATCACATCTTTTTAATGCAGTCATCCACCTTTGGACATTTGGGTTGTTTCCATGTCTTTCCAATTGTAAGTAAAGCAGCAATAAACATGGGTGCAGGTATCTTTTTGAATCAGTGTTTTTGCGTCTTTTGGGTAGATACCTAGGAGTGTGATTGCTGGGTCATAGGGAAGCTCCATGTTGAGCAGTTTGAGGAACATCCAAACAGTTTTCCATAGTGGTTGTTGTATTAGTTTGCAGTGCAGGAGAGTTCCTTTTTCTCCACATCCTCACTAACATTTGTTGTTGCTAGTTCTAAGATGTGCCATTCTCACTGGGGTGAGGTGGTATCTCATTGTGGTTTTAATTTGCATCTCCCTTATTACAAGTGATGTTGAACATTTTTTCATATGCTTGTTGGCCATCTGCATTTCCTCTTTGGAAAAGTGTCTTTTTAGCTCTTCTGCCCATTTTTTGATGGGGTTGTTTATTTTTGTTGAGTTTCACCAGTTTTCCATATATTTTTGGGATCAATCCTTTATCACTAGTTTTGTGTGAGAAATTTTTTTCCCAATCAGTGGGCTGTTTGTCTTTTGTAATGTCTCCTTTCCTGTACAGAAGCTCTTTAACTTGATGTGATCCCATCTATTTATCCTTGCCTTCACTACCACTGCATTAGGTGCATTGGGTGCATTAGGTGCTTGTATGTTGCTGAAGTGCATGTCGTATAGTATTTGGCCTATCTTTGCTTCCAGCTATTTTATCATTTCCGTTCTTATGTCTAGGTCTTTAATCCACTTCGAGTTGATTTTTGTATATGGTGTGAGGTAGTGATCTAGTTTCACTTTTTTGCATGTAGCTTCCCAGTTTTCCCAGCACCATTTGCTGAACCAACTTTCTGTGTTCCATTGCATATCACACATTTTTGTTGTTGAATATTATATATTTTAGATAATGTGTCTCCTCTGTGTGGGCACAGACTCAGTCAGCCAGGCTTGTGTGTTTGCCTGTGGTTCATTCCATCTCTGTGGCATGAACACCTCCCCCAGTCAATGTGGGATATGTAAATACCTATCACACCCTCAAAAGACTGCTTCACTTCCCTATTAAGTCCCTACCCAGTTGTCTGCTCCAAATCTACTCAAAACTACACGGGGGGGGGGGGAGGTCCTCTTTTGTTGTTTGTTACTGAGATTGTTATTTTAACAACGCTTTCTTCAAGGGAGTCCTTTCTAGTAGCAATAGCAAAGTTGCTGCTTATATGGCCTCCCTGGGCCAGGTTGAGTTGCTGTGCTCACGGGAAAGGGGGCAATCCTGGGCAAGAATCAGCCACAGACTTACTCTGTTTTCTTCCTACAGTTCAATTATTTTCATAAGCAAATGCTGGCCAGTTTGTTGGACAATATGCTGAAAGGGAGGCTTTATGGTTCTATACAGCTTCACAGTTGATTTCTGGCAAAATAACTTGTCAACCTTCTTATATTACCACGCCAGAGTAAATCTCTACTATAGCTTAACTCTGCCTATTTGTATCCTCTATATAATTTCAGACATACAATATTTCCTCTTTTAGGTCCAGCTGCTTTTTCTCAAATTGATTTTGAGATTAATCTGATAGTGCATTTACCACTGCTTCATTTTTTTTTATTGATGAGTAGCATTTTTATAAATATACCATCAATTGTTTTACCATTTACCTGTTAAGGGAGCTTTGCATTGTTTCTAGTTTTGGCTATTATAATAAAGTTGTTAGTAATACCTTGGGGCACATTTTTAAAAATTTGTATATAATTTTATTTTTCTAGGGAAAATGCTTAGGAGAGAGAACACTGGATTATAGAGTAGGTCTGTGTGTGTGTGTGTATGTGTTTCTAAAGTGGTCTTATGATTTTACATTCTCATCAGCAATGATGGGATGTCATATCTTCACTATTGGAAGTTGTTACAGGATTTTGTTTGGTTTATTTACTTGTAATTATATTGGGTCTAAAACTATATTTTATTGTAGTTTTAATTCACATTTTTCTAATGACAAAAGTGGCTGGGCATCTTTCTCATGTGCTTACTGACCACACAAATATTTTTTATTTTAGTGTTTATTTATGAACATAGCCCATGTATTTGCTTTTTATCTTTGTATTACTGATTTCTAGGTGTTGTTTATAATGTCTGAGCATAGGTACTTTGCCAGATAATGTACTGTGTATACTTTCCCTTGGTTTTTTATTTATCTTTCCATTTAATTTTGATAATGTCCAACTTATTCCATTTTATCTTTTCATGCTATTTTTCTTCCCTAAGAAATATTTACCTACTGCAAGGTCATAAAGATGTTTCCTATATTTCCCAGAAACTTTGTATTTTTAACTTTACATTTAGATATATGGTCCATCTTGTATTATTTTTTGAGTGTGGTGTGAAATTGGTATGAGTTTAATTTTTCTCCAAGTATAAAAATGCTTTAGAAGTAGTCTAGACCAAATCAAAATTTATTCAGATATCAGTTTAAAAGAAATTTGCAAAAGAGACTGAAAGAAGGTACATAGTTGTATCCAACTGATCATTGTTTAAAAGACTTCCTTCCTCTCTGACTTGCATTCATACTTTTGTAGAGAGTTAACTGATTCTGCGACTGTGGAAACATACTGAAATGGTAATTTGAGTCTGAAGAATGAAGCAGGCACATCCATTAATCATACTTTAACTTCTTCAGGGCACTTTAATACAGGGCCCTTTCACACAGGAGCCAGTGGAGAGGACTTTGGTTTCAGGAAGGAGACATATAACCCACCCCTGACAGGGTTCCTATGCCCTATTTAGCATGTATAATCTATTGTGTATGAGATTAATGATGCCAGGTGTTTGGGAGCCATGGCACGTGTTTTAGTCTATTAAGATCAGTAGAATTGTGTATAGATCCTGAATGTGGTCACTTTGGTTAATCCAACATGGAAATTTCTGGTTTTCTCTGCATTAATCATATGTCTGTGATTCTATTTTGGGAATCTGTCCTACCCCATTGATCTACTTGTCTATATGTATTGCCAAATCTCATAGTCATTACTGGATCTTTACAGTTTTTTTTTTTTTTTTTTACAAGGTAGTGTGAATCTTCCATCCTTGTTCTTCTCTAGACTTAATTTGAGAGCTATCGAATGTGTGATACTGACAGTGTCATCTAATGAGGGAACACAGAGTAGACATATTCACAAGACCTTTAGACTTCTCACTGTGGCAGTTATGTCTGATTTGCAGCCAGAGAATTAGGCTGGGACACAAAAATAATAGAGAAATAGATTAAGATATGGAGAAAGACAGAAACAAAGATATTCAGAGAATCAGGAGGAGATTGAGAAACAAGTAGAGACAGAAACAAAATATAGAGACTGAGAAAAAGAGAGAGACACAGTGAGAAGCACTGACAGTGGCTGAGGTCCAAAGAGAGACCAGGTGTTCAACCCAGGAGTTGAGCAGAATTCTACCTGGATACAATTAGCCGGGGGGAGCGTAAACATGAGGGTCCATATTTTTCTGATAATGGTTATTCAAAATGCCAAGATTCATGATGAGAAGAATTATCCACTTGTATTTTACATAATTATTTGTAACAAAGCACTTTCAGTTGGAAATGAGATCGTTTAAAGGTAAGTCAGTTACGTGTAGAATAGGTGCTGAATCCCAGTTCTTGGGAATTTCCTCTTTCTCCTGTCCAATGCATATAACCTAGGCTGAGGTGGCTGGGCAGAGCAGCTGGGGTGTGAGGCTCAGACCACACCCCTAACCTGACTCTCCTTTGTCAGCCTGAACCAGGTCTGCAGCTGCTGGGAGATGTTCTGTGGAGAATGGACAATTTCAAGTGGGACCTAAGCACTAATAGAGGGACAGGCACATGCAAATGAGCATGCAAATAAGACCACAAATCAGGGGAATGGTTTTTTTCTTCCTTACCTGGCGCCCCTGGTGGAGATTGGGGGAATCTGAGGGCTTCTCAGGTGCCATGTCCAAGCAATGGGAGCCACTGGGAATGAGAATGGCTGACTCTGAGGGCCCCAAGTTCCTGGTTACACTTAGCACATGCCAGGGATCTGTATCCCCTAGGAAAAAAAAGAGAGAATTATATGTGGAGCTAGAGCTAGGTGAAGGTTGAGTCATGTTCAGATGGCTTGCTTACCATTGACAAACAGCACCTGGGTGGCCCCAGGGGTCTGGCCACCATAGTAGGAATTCGTCTGGGCCACAGCCTGGGCTATGGATGAGGTTGAGAGCCCGAACACCTGCTCACAAAGCTGTAGGTGGGAAGGCAGTGCTGGGAGCTGGGAGAAAGGGCATCTGGGAACCTCGCAAGTGATATCTGTGGAGGAAAATCTCCATAACTTCAGGATATAGCCAGTCCCCCACTCTTTTAAAATAATCATTTACAGGGTTGTCCCCAGTGATGATCAAGGTAGTTCTGGACCTGCCCGTTAGTGAATTCTCAGTCTTACTGGTTATCACCTCCCCCTCCTCAAATGATCAGGAGTGTGATGGAAAAAGACCAGGATGGGGTCATAGTGAGGGAATCTGTGAAGCAGCATGGTGGGCCCCAGGACAACAGCAGTGGGGAACCGACCTTAGGAATTAGGAGTTAAACAAAGGGAGAGAAGAGAAAGCATCACACACAAAAAGCAAACAGCATGTACAAAGGTCTAGTGGTGAGAGGAAGCCTGGAGCCTTACAGCACAATCAGACCATGTTTCCAGAGCTTAAAATCGAGGGCACAGCTAATGCGGTCAGTCTCATGTAAATTCACACCTTCCATCACCATTTATTGAGAACCCACTGTGTAATCAGGTAGGTTAGGACAATACTGACAACACAGTGACAAACAAGACAGTCTCTCAGGCTTTGTTATCACAGGACTCATAGTCCAGTGGGGGAAATGAACAATAAAGATGAGAGCATGGACAGTGTTAAGGAGAAGAACACGGACTTATGGAGATGTGGAGTAAACTGTGACTGAAGATAAGTAGTCAAAGCAACGTGAATATCAGTGCAAATTCCTGACTGTTAGGAAAATTGGTTTATTAGAAGGTCAAAATATGTAGAGTTTAATAAAAGTAATGATCAAGTACTTACAGGGGTATTCACTGAATGCCAACCTTATTCTCAGCAAGTTACATATATATTACCTCCTTTCATCCTCAAAATCTTATTAGAGAAGTAGTGCTTTTATTTCGACTTTATGGATATCGCATAGAGCACTTTAAATAAGTCACTTGCCCTCAGTTCTAGTAGAGGGCAGAGAAATGCCCAAGTTTGCTCAGGATCACATAGTTACAAAGTAATAGAACTGGAATTTGAATCTCTGGCTTTAAACCCTTCTGCTTTCTGGAGATGTGGAAAGGATATGGAACTTAACCCTGGGGTAGGAGGAAAATAAAAACATAGATTGCCCATTAAAGTTGAATTTCAGATCCACAAAACACTATATTTTTTAAAGTACAACTATAACCCCTGCAACACACTTATACTGAAAAAAAATCTATCTGAAATTCAAATTTATGTGGGCATTCTATATTTTATTTGGCACCTCATCGAGCGGTATCATGGACAGATAAGGTCATATTTAGAAAGATTTCTGCGACTGTGGTGAGGACGTTGGATTATAAGGGTTAGATGAAGGCTTGATGGGACTGAAAAGAAGAAACCAGAGAGATTAGGAATTAGGTATCCCAGCAGAAGATGACCCAGTCAGACCAATGGTCCTATGGAAATGAAACAGTCCAAACCGCCTCTGAAATGGCCTGTTTGGACAAAGCACACGAATATGTTTTGGGGGTGAGGGTCGGGCCAATCACTCACAAAAGCCAAACTCAGTACAAGTCTGGTACAGCCACTGCCGGTCACCCACGCCATACACTTGGGGGTCTGTGACCCTCAGCTGTGCCACAATCTCTGCTCTGGAGAAGCTTAAACATCTCTGGCCCAGGCTGTGCAGGAAAACCTAGGGGACGATAAACATCCATCCAAACATACATTCCCACCTCCCCACAAGCCAGGGCCTGGAGGCACAGGCCCCTACAAGTGAAAGGTCCGAAAGTGAGCTCCCCTGGGAGTGAATGGTTAGAAGGGGTTGGGTGGCCTGGTCCCTGGGGGTTAGAGGTTCAGGAACTCGATAACTGGGACCTTATGAGAAGAAAAGCCGATGACAATCCTAGTGGCTAAGGCCCTGTGACATGCCATCCCCATTTTACAGATGAGAAGGGCACTACTCTGGAAGGGGCACAGGAGTCCCAGGCCGCGGACCCCGACTCCCAAGCGCGTTGCTCCGAGGTGCTCACCTGCGCCGCGCGACGGAGGCCGTGGTAGGGCGCAGCGCGGCTGCAGTTGCCCCCAGCCCCGAGGAGGAGTCCGCAGAGCCGCCGCACGCTCAGCGGCGGTCCCGCCTGCCCGTCGTACTGCACGGCGCCGCCCACCAGCGCCTGCAGCGCCCCCAGGAGCTCGGCCTGGTCCTCGACGGTGTCCAGGGAGCTGCAGGCGCCCAGCTC